TTTTTTCCTAGAAGTAAGCTCAGCAAGTTGACCGCCCCCTGCCCCTGCCCCCCACCTCTACACAAGGGCTTTCATTATTCCCGGCATCAGTACACAGCAGCATTCTGTGCCTCTCTAAACCAAGGCCATGCTGGCCCCTTCACAGGGCCCAACACTCAAGGATGGCAGCGAAGTCCCATGTGCTTGGCACCCCCAGTGAGCGCTCTGCTCTTTTTTTATTTATATGACTAACAACAGCTGCGTCTTCAGTCACTAGGCCCTCAGCAACGACTGGTAAATTAAAAACAGCCATGGGCATTTAAAAATAGTTTAAAAGATCTTGAAATCTGCAAAGGCTATGACGTCATTTACCAGCCTTGGTTATAAAATCATGTTGGGTACTATGTACACTGAAGGTAAAGTTCAGCTGTATCAGCTGGAGGAGAGAAAGACCACACGCGGGGGGGGGGGGGGGCGGGCACACAGGGGTCAGCGGGGACAGCGGGCGGGGCCTGGGCCTCTCGACTCACTTGTGGGCTGTAGGGGTGTGAAAGGTTTTCGGCTGGAAATGCTGGGCCAGAGTTAACTCTTCGGTTTCGAGTTGAATGAACCAAATCCCAAATCTCTCAGAACCAGCGTCCCCAGCCAAATGCTCCCATCCTGCTTTTGAAGCCGCTCGGAGACGCGGGTTCACGCGGCCCCGACGGCGCTGCCCCGCCCTCTGAGCACCGGCAGCCTCTCCCGGTTTGGCCCGTCCTCACACTCCACGCGGCCACGCAGCCCAGCTCTGTGGCCTGGCGACGGGTGCTCTGCGTGGGGCGGGCCGGCGGCGCAGGGCTGAGCCCTGGACCCAGGGCCCTGGGGGCGGGGCGCACGCGGGGGCGGGGCTGCCCCTGTGAAAGCAGCGGGTGTCACTTCACAGGCGTCCCCTCTGGGGCGGGCACTGGTCTTCGAGGGTTATTTAGGGTGAGAGGTAAGAGCCGGAGCTCTTGACCAGGGCCAGGTGATGTGCGAGCAAGTCCCGACTGACCCCCAAGCCCACGTGCTGCTTCTCCGCCGGCGCAGCCAGTGGTGAATGTCGCGGCTGCCCGCCAGCCGAGCGCCTGCACCCCAGGAGCACGCATGTGAAGCGGGGCTGGGGGGTGGCCGTGGGCGCTACGGAGGGGCGGGAGCTGGGCTCACCTGGCAGGCTGTCGGCGACCTCGTTGCCCCCGCGCCCGAGGCCAGGGGCGGGCGGGAAGGCCCTGGGGCTGTGCGGGAGCCGCGCCAGGGTCACCGTAGCGATGGGAGGCAAGGACTTAAGCCGCGGGTAGTAGAAAGAGTTCGCGGGGTGGCTGGGAGAGGAGGCCGTGATCTGCAGGCGGGGTGGCCCGGAGGTGGGTCAGGAAGGGCCAGCCCCGCCCCCAGGCCTCGGCTGCCCTCCCGGGGAGCGCGCCGCCCCGAGAGCTGCCAGCCCCTCACCTCGGTCACCGTGTCCTGCGGGACGGTCGCGAACTTGGGGGACGAGAAGGTGAAGCCGCTGTCGGTCCCGGCATCGTAAGGGTGGAGGTCCACTGCCACCTGCTCCCTCCAGCGGCCCGCGTCACACAGGTCCAGGCTGTCGACGCCCACGAACCAGTCGGGGCTGGGGACGATGCGGACCACGAAGGACACCTGGGGGCCGAGGGCTCAGCGGCAGCCCCCGCGCCCCCCTCCTGCCCGCCCGCCCACCGTCCACGCCGCCCCACTCACGAGCGAGTGCCTGGAGTGGGCCTCAAACTCCGCGGACGTCTGCCCGGTGCCGCTGGGCACGGCTGGGGCCGAGAACACGCCGTGCACGCTCTGCAGCTTCTCCCCGGCAGCTTCCATCTCCTGCATCAGTGCCCAGGCCTCGCTGCGCTCCGCGAAGTCCCTCAGCCCATTGCTCACGTACTGGCCCTTCCTCCACAGGCTGTAGTCGGGGCTGTGCGCAGCCCCTGTGCACCACCCACCCGTGTGAGCATCACCCCTGGACACCGTCCCGCCCCTCGTGGGGCCGGGCGGGCTGTCCCACAGGTGGCCTCACACTGCCCGGCACCTCGCTGGTAGGACGGGCAACTGGCCGGCCCTTCCCGTGACCCGGGCCACCCTGCCCCGCCACGTCCCTGAAGCCCAGGACACTGCTGCCGGCACACAGTAGGCACTCAGCCAGTACCTCCTGCACTGAAATGAATTGGGTGAGGTCCCCTCCACGCTGTGAAGTGCGGGGCCACGGTCGGGTGACCGTACCCTCCCGAGCAGTGAGGGTCACCGCCAGGCCCGCCGGGCACGGGACGGCAGGGACTGCACTCACCCAGCAGGGATGACCACTGCGCGGGTGGGCGGAACATCGGGTACTGCTTGGGGAAGGATGCCTGGCTCCACTTGCCCGTGAAGGTGATGCTGTACTTGGCCAGGGGCTGGGCCGTGCACATGGACTCTCCCCCCAGCGGCTGGCCGGCCGAGCAGCCAAGTGTGGCCAGGAGGAGGGCCCAGAGGGCTCCGCCCCAGGGGGTAGCCGGACTCGGGGTTCCCATCACCTACGAGAAGGGGGGGCCACATGCTGCACCGCTGGTCCCCAATGCCCTGTGCACGGCCCCTAGTTACAGGCACCCGAGGACGCTGGGCACCTCCCTCCACGTTCCCTCTCCAGGCTCCGGCTGGGCCTGACCCCGTGGCTGGAAAGCCAAGCCGTGTTGGGTTACAGGAACCCAGGGTGCCTGGCCGGTTACACCTGGCGTGGAGCTCACAGCCAGCTCAGCACCCTGTGGCTTTCCCAAGGGAAACACCTCTGGCGCTGCCATCTGAGGGAACCCCGGGTACCAGGAGGGTCGCCGTGCCCCGGATTAGGTGGGCCACCCTCTTGGGGTGCTGCCCCTCTTGGGGTGCTGCGGGTTTCTGGGTGGGGGCAGTGCCAGGAGGCCAGCGCGGCTGCGGGGCCGGGGCCAGCGCACGCAGTACTCACCCAGCAAGAGCGACCGGAGACTGTGGGCAGCCGAACGTCCCAGCAAGAGCCCAGAGCTCCAATTTATGCTGCAGACGCGGCACCCAGCTGGCCAATGAGTTCCCAGGTCCGCCACCGCGGCCGCCGGAGAGGAGCGGCAGATAGGACGCGGGGAGAGGGAGAGAAAGGGACCTCAGTGCTGGAGCTGGCCTGGCCGCCCGCCTGCTCTGACGCGAGCAGATGCTGCTCCAGCGCTGAGGTCACTCCTCCCTTGGGCGCCGGCCACTCGCCGCACCCCTTCCTTTGTCTTTTCCTCCCTCCCACCCCCCTCTCCCCCGAGTTCTCTCCTTTCCCATCAGGCCCTCCCTGGTGTCTCCCTGGAGGGGGTGCCAAAGCCAGCAGCTGGGAAGAGAGCTGGGCCAGGGCCACCAGCGTGCACTGCCCACAGGGCAGGGTGGGACGTGGGGGCCACAGTCGGGCCTGACATCTGTCCGTCTGTCCGAGGGCCGGGGACGGGCGGAGAAGCAGGGGCCCTGGGTTCAGCGGACACAGCTGTCTTCTTCCCACGTACAGAGCTGCATGGAGGAGCCACGCTGTCCACGCCGTGGCCAGGGCATCTGGACCGTCCCCCCGAGGGGAGTCGAAGCCATGAGGCCGCCTTCCCCAAGGGCCAGGAGGTGACCCCGGGCCCCCCAACTTCCCTCCATGGGGAAGCGCTCCAAGGATGCCTGGCATACGGAAGAAAATGCCAGCGGATTCTTATCTCTGCTCCCTGTCAGGAGAACATTTCCAGAACCCTCATCACGGGGCCTGGGAGCCAGGAAAGACAAGGACAGTGGGGTGGTCTGGCTTGTAAGAACCGCCCAGGGAGCTTTAAAGCTTAAAAAGACACATTCGGAGTTTCGAAACCACGTTAATGTTTTACACATTCCAAAAGAGAGAGAGAAAAATAAACAGAATCCACAAGAATAGAACGCAAACAAAAACAAATGACCTAACCTGTATTTCAAGTAAACAACACAACCGCCGGGAAGCGGCTGTGAACACCGTGTTCAGACTGCGGGTCCTCAGGCTCCCGACAGAGCCCAACGCAGTGGTTCTCAAACACTTTGGTCTCGGGACCCCTTACACTCTGAAAAGTCACTGAGACCCACAAGGAGCTTCTGTTTGTGTGGGTGACATCCATCGGTCTCACCATGTTTGAGATCCTAATGGAAATGCTTGGAATACTTATCAATTCACTTAAAAATAACAAAAATAAACCTATTGCACATTCACATAAATAGCAATATGCTTTATGAAAAACAACTCTTTTTCAAAAAGAAAACCTTTGTGAAAAAAGCGGGAAGTGCAGATCTTTTTCTGTCTGGCTTCCTGGGAGACGTGGGACGGTCACCGCCACCCCGCAGTTGCTCCGAGGTGCGTGTCATGCTAGTTGGCATCTGCGCAGAAAGGCCAGCCGTGCAGGGACGCAGCTGGAGCTCGGGAGGCTTGTCACGCCTGGATGTGCCACGTGGCCTGTGGGGACGTCCCCACACCCTCGCGAGCGCCAGCAGAACGGGCAGGGGTGTCTTTGCTCACACCATGTCCTTGGAGAAGTGACTGATCCGGGTTTGAGGAGAGAAAGTGGGAGGTGGGCTTGGGCCGTTTCGTGGCAGGAAGTGAGGACGTGCGTGGGCAGCCCTGGCCCGCCGTCCAGTGGCCGCGCGGGCCTCAGGGCTCGCCCCATTTTACAGGAGGCTCCCCTCCTACTCCTCACACCCACAGCTCTGCCCTTCCGGGGCCCCACGTCGATGTGCGGCCAGTGTGGACTGAAGGCTGGACCTTCTGTTTGCTCAGGGCTCCCCTGGAAGGGGCCGAGGGGAGGGTGAACAGGGAGGCACTTCCTTTGGTGTTGGAGTGACCCTGAAAGCATGCCTGAGGAGTCCTTGGGACACAGCGGGGCACGGGGTGCCCTGCTCAGAGAGGGATGCAGAGGGAGCCTTGGGAGCCGGCGGCCTGTGGCCCCTTGGTCTGGGCTGGGTCTCCAGCGGGGCAGCCTGGCCAGTCGGGGGTCAGCTTACACTCTGAGCCCCGAGCACACTGCAAACCACTCTGACCCTCGGGCTCCTCCACCAACCAGGATGCGGTGCCCGGTCCCTCACAGGCACCAGGCACCACGTGAGGTGGCATCTGGGCAGCACTTGACAGCAGGCTCCTCTGCACACAGGTGCCCCCCACCGGGTAAAGTCATCCATTTGCAAACGCATGTCCAGCACCTCCCGGGTCTCAGCACCGGGAACACGGGAGTGACCCCAACGGACAGAAGCCCTGCTCCCCGAGGCTGTGGGGCTGGGGACCTGGGTGCATTTGTGGGTGGAATTCTGTTCTTTGGAGACTGCGTGGTTCTTTGGCCGACACTGAGGCCAGGGTCCCCTCCCGTAAGTCAGTCTATGGTCAGTCACCCCGAGGTGGCTTCGGGGGACTGAGGCTCAGGGCTGTGCTGTGGCCAGGCCTCTGCAGACTCCACACTCGCTGACTGCTGCCCCTCCCCGCTTGCCCCAGTGGCAGAGCCCTGTCCAAGCCCCGCTTCCCAGGCCTGCCTGCATCCCCCGCCCACCCACGACTCCGATGGCTGCAGCAGGCACCCTGACCTCAGACTCCCACCCCAGGGCCACTGTAGCTCAAATGAGTGCACAGCGCAGGGCGAGCCGCTGACACTGTCCTCCCAGGGGCTGGCGGTTCTCAAAGGTGTCTTCTAGCTGACTGCTGCTTGTGGTGGACTTGGGGCGGGGTCTGGGCCGCCCCAACTGGCCCCGGTGGGGCGTGGAGTTAGCAGGAGTCCCTGTGTGAGCCGCTGAGGATGGGCCAGGCACACAGGATGCTGGGGACGCGGTGGTCATGTCCGTGCCCCGGGCTGGGGCCCTGCCACAGCCCAGAACCCAAGGGGCCTGAGGGGCATTGGGCTCCAGCGGGACCGTCCATTTGTATCCTGGCCAAGGGGCTCTTGAGGCCAGGGTAACAAGGGCTCTTTCAGGTGGGGCCCTGGATGTGGGGACACCCATCACCTTGGGAGCACCCAGACCTGGCGTGGAGTCTGGCTCCTCAGGGGCCGGCTGACAGGCACGCGTTTGTTTGCTGGTCTGTCCCCTCACCAGATGTTGACTGAGGGCCAAGTTCCTGCCAGACACCACAGCCCGCACACAAGGGCTTCCCATCCCCGAGGCTGAGCCCTCCCAGCACCTTGCGCCCCAGGGCCTTTGCACTGCGGCTCCCTCTATCTGGAGAGCTCTTTCCAGGCCGGCCTCTTCCTGTCTCAGGTCTCAGGGAGAGCCCCTCCTGACAGGGCCCCGGAAGGCCTGGTCGGCCCTGCCTTGTTTACAGTCTTGGCTCCTCCAGAGAAGTAAGTCTGCCCGGGCAGACAGGGATTTGCCCCGGGAGTCCTGCAGCCCAGAGTCTGAGGAACGCAGCTGTGAGCTGCTGCCCACCTGCCCGGAGACCTCGCTCCTTCCCTCCTTCTCACCTCACTCCATCCTGGGTTCAGGTCTCTTAGCACTTCTGATTGGTGGGGTCTGAGTCAGGTCAGGGAACCCTGGGTCCGGGAGGCACTAGGATGGGTGCTGGGAGAGCTGAGCCCCCCAACAGCACCCGGCTCCCCGCGCTCGTGCAGGGACGCCCAGTGGGGGCCTCGCCGCTGGCTTGGCCTCTGTGGGTGTCCCCCCTGCGAGCAAGCCTGGCTTGCAGAAGGGCCAGGGGAGCCAGGGCTCTCACCAAGCCTCACCTTCACGGAGGAGGCCTCCATGGCCGCCGACCGCAGGCCTGGGAGGAGATATGCCTCCATCTGGCTGTAAACATGAACGTTCCCTCCTCTGCTCAGCAGCCGGCTTCCAGAAACACAGGACTGTCTGTGCAGCAAAATTTGCTGTGTCTCCATCCCAGTTAAGATGCCAGGACCTCAGCAAAAATGGCAGAGTGAGGACCTCTGAAAACTGTCCGTTGTAATAGCAAGGAGGAAATAGGCAAAAACGGTCAGAACCGACTTTTTCTGTACTCTGGAAATTAACCAGAAGCTTGCAGCAGTCCTTGGAGAGCTGTTTTTTGTTTTCTGTTTTTCAGTCAAGAAAACGAGCTGAATCTTGGTAAGAGCAGCCATGAGGTTTTTGTTTTTTACCATCTTAACCATTTTTCAGCAACAGCTCAGTGGCATTAAGCACATTCACATTGTTGTGCCGCCGTCACCACCATCCGTCCACAGAACTTTTCATCTTCTGAATCTGAAACTCTGTCCCTTTCCAGCAATGGCTCCCTGGCCCCTCCTCTCAGCCCCGGAAACCCTCACTCTACTTTTTGTCTCTGTCGTTTTGACAACTCTAGGGGATCTGAGTGCAGTCATACAGTGTGTGTCCTTTTGTATCTGGCTTATTTACTCAGCATAATGTTCTTAGGTTCATCCATGTTGTAGCAGGTGTCAGAATTCCTTTGTTTTTTTAATGTCCCTGTAATTTTTTTTTCTCATAAGTCAATGTTTACAAAGTGTAATGTACATAAAGAAAATTATATTTTTCCTTGAATATAGCTCAGTGGATTTTCGGAAATGGAAGGCATTCATGTAATCAG